GGGGGAAGGGTGAAACATTCATCTTTTTTTTCACTCCTTCGTTGGTAAGTCAAGTGAGTGTGGGGATGAGAGTGAAACTTCTATCTCCCTTTTCTCTTTAAACTCGTTTTTTGGTCTGTGAGTTGGTATGTTAGGAGGAGGGGGGAATAAAGCATTCATTTCTTTACACTGTTTTGTTGGTCTGTGGTGGAATGTGGACAAAACATACTGTCTTGTCCCCCCCCCACCAGGGCAGTGCTACTGACTGAAGTTGTCTTTAGGCCATTCCCAAAGGAGGGGGGGAGGGGGGTATTAACATGTTCTTATGCACAGTAGAATTGTATATGGGCTGATTTATCAATATCACGCTCATACTGAGCCAGAACAACATAGGGGAACTGCTGCTTTTTCTTTCCTCATTTTTGCTGTCGTCATTTTCCTCTAGTTTTTTGGATGTTTGTCACTCTTTTGTTAACTGCTATTTCTTGAATACCTTGATAGTTGAATTAAGCAGACTTTGTGCTGTTGAGGTTAGAGAGGTGAGCAAAGTAAGCCTGATTCCTCGTTTGGACTTCTCTGTTGACATCCACCCCTTGGACCTCATATGACCTTATGCAGTTGTGACCGCCGTAAAACGTTACTAAAACTATAACAATGTCTTGTTGGTCTGTGGTGGAATAAAGATACAACATCCATCTCTGTACACTTTTTTGTTGGTCAATGTGAGGATGAGGATAAAATATTCATTTCTTTTCACTGATTCGTTGATCTGCGATGGTGTCATGTTTCTCAATGTGATGGGTGATAAAGATAAGACATGTAGCATGGAAACAGTTTCCTGTGGGGTGTGGAGCCTTTTTCATTGTTTGACTACATAACTGGTGAGGAGACACTGTTTTAGTTTATTTTACACTTGTAGGGAAATCTTTGTTCAACAATTGTTTCATTTGGAGAGGGGGGGGGGGTTATGTTGTCCTTTAGCTGACGAACATTCTGCAACATTTGAGATCAGTGTAACTCATATATACGTAAGCCCTGAACCACAACAAACTAATTTTTAAAAAAGATGAAGCCATTCTTATTATTTTATTTCTTACATTTTCTTTACAAGATCTCAGGCCTAGCTGACATTTTTTTAATGGGGTTTTTTTTTTTTTTTGGTTATTTCTATCAACATTCTCAAATGAAGAGTTCATAACCATTCCACCTGTTTGACGCTGGTTATCAAAAGTAGTTTTTTGTAAGTATTTCTCGGCTGCTGGTCAGAGTTTTTGTTTTGCTTTGCCAGTTCTGTTTCTTCTTTTTCATTCAGTCCTGTTTGACTGTTTCATTTGTGTATCTCGTGTACAGAACAATCCTTGGCTGACATAGACGGCTGTGACTCAGACAGCGACTCAGCGCCGCTGCAGTCCCAGAAGCTGCGGTCAGAGTCTCAAGTGTCCAGCGTGTCCAGCACGTCCTCCGCACAGTTTGCCTCGTGTCTGGTGGAGTTCAGCCCAGGCCAGGTGTACAACGAGAGCCGCAGCCGACAGATTCACGTGTCTCCGTGTCGCACTACGGGGGATATTGATGTGTCTCTCATACAGTAGATTGCTGTATATCCATTGAGGATTGGGAAACATAAAAGTGTTGCTTGCTGCCGCTGCAGCAGCTTGTGTTTACAAAGTGCAGTGAAACTCCCGTTATAAATCCCTCCCCCCATCCCCCAAAATATCCGTCATACTGCCATCCCTGCAATAGGCCTACCACCAACTTCATGTTCCTATCAAGGTTGATGGTATATCGGGGTTCAACCGTATATTGTAACAGAAAGATTTGTTTGTGGAAATATGAACGTGTGTGCATGCCTGTGTCTGTAGAGACATGACTTTTGGCTCTCTTGACTGCCTGAAACTGCAGATTGAGACCGAACACCTGGAGCAAAAATCAGAACGGGTTGAGTGGCAACCTGTCAGGCTTGGCAGGTATATGAAATGAGCCTGTTTCCTGTTTACATATATATATGTGAGGCAGCGTGGTGGTATCAGGCTCTCGTCAATTTTTGGGCATATTGAGTTATTGGTATCATCTTAAAGCTTGTTCATTTGTCCTGCTTTCAAGGAAAAAATTACCCATCCATCTTCAATAGAAGTGGAGATATTTTGGATTGAAGGAGGTAGGGGTCATCTGGTTTAAGAGGTAAAATTTGAGAGAAAATGGCCACCAAAGCTAGGTAAATTCCAAAGCTGGACAGTCCATGGAAACTAAAGCCTTTAATCAACGTTTTCGGTGAAATCCTCAAAGGAATGTGTTTGTAAATGGACATAAAAGGTGTTGAGCCAAAAAACAAAAATTTGATAAAAATTGCTAAGCAGGGAGAAAACTGCTGTTTTCTTCGATTTCATTATTTTGACGAGAGCCTGATTCCACCTCGCTACCTCACATATACAGTCTAGCATGCATATAGCAAAATTGGTGGGATACGGCCGTTTTTTCACAATGTGCTGACTTTGCTGTGTAGGTGTTTTAAATACAAAAGATAAACACAAACAAGAAAAAATTCGGGACCTAAACATCTGTTCACTGTGTGCGTATTTGCTATGTGAGCTTGGCTGTATGATATTTCAGGATGAAAGAGAGATACTTCTGCTTGTTACTTCATGAGGCTCTGTGATAAGTTATGCCTTGAGTGGACCTATTACTGGTGTGTGTGTGTGTGCAAGTTTGCGTGTGTTGTCTTTGGATGATGACAGGTTTTGAATTACCCTTTGTGTTGATACAGTCCATGCCGGCTTTAAGCACGGTCATCGGGAGAAAGCTTAAGCGTGCTTAAAGCCGAAGCGTGCGAAGTAGACATAATCCAGAGATTTTCATGTAGAAAATTCCCCGTGCTATTTCCCTTTGTTTGTAAGTAAGCCTATAGCGGTCCCGCAAAAGTGTGCACTGTTATTTAGACACCCGCCATGGTAGTTTTTGTTCGCTGGTTTGTTTTTGTTTTGTGGTCGAATGGGAAATGAAAACTTAATTTAGACGGCCAGTCACGATACAGCACACTAGGCCTACTGTAACACACTGCCTGTGCGTACCACTGCCCGCTGTGCCACTCATACCACCGCCTTCATCCCTCCTCGCGCGTGATACACAATCAGGTATAATGGATAGCAAGGGTCAAAGGTGACATCGCAGCCAGCCTCCCTTTCTCGTCTCCCCGACTCTCTTTGTATTTTTTTTTGGTCGTGTGTAGCTTTGCCCTAGGCCTAGGCTAG